GGCTGATGTTGGTTTTCTGGTTCAACGTCAGTGACGGCAGGCTGAGATCCTCACCGCTGTTAGGCTACCGCGAGATCGCGTCATGCGAATTTGACGTTTGAGTTGAAAAAATTGGACTCGAACGCTTGTCGGCCTCCTCCAATCAATCGCGCTGCGGCATTACTATCAACCGCGTCATGCGCGCCGCCGGAGCGAATTTGCGTCTATTTGCATTAACTTTACATGTAATAGCGCCGCCCCCAAAAATCGCCTCGCTTCCGGTGTGAACGCACCATTAGACTCTTATATGCCATCTTTTCGAGCATATAATTGGTTTCAGATTACCTAAAAGTTAAGGCTAATCACCAACTTGCTAATACAAAGCTAGTTAGCATTAGCTTCACTTTACTGTGCATTGGTTTTACTAACTGAATAACACATTTACTCACAATACAAGAATAACACAACTTAAGTATCACTGTGTCCTTCTTCAAACCATCATTTGAAACACCTGAGACGATATCTCACCTGGTTTTGTAGAGTTTGTGTGATGGGTAAATCCATGACATTGTTAACGATCTCTCCGCTGGGATGCACGCAGTAAACGATGATGCAGGCCACAGGAGCCCAGGTGCTTTCTGGGAACAGAACTACAACACCAGAGCTTTTCCCAGCAGAAACCACCTGACCTCTGGACATCACCTTTAAACACAGAAGGTAGACGTCAGAACCGCCATTATCTTATTTATTTTCAAATCAAAACTGCATTCATTTACTTTTTATTGGCCACTAGGGGGCAGAAAAACACCAAAACAAGATGACAGACGTATTGTTACTTTCTAAAGTTGTATAATAACAGACTTTAGTGAAAGATAGTGTAAGCATAAAGAAACATTTTTAATAAAATCAGACAATATTACACAAATCCAATTTAGATAATGTGAGAAAATCAAGTTTATTCTACAGTGGCCCTGAGTCTACCTTTAAGCCTCAGACAATTTCTACTGATGTAAATAAATAAAATATAATATCAGAATCAAGGTTTATTGTCAAGTAGCTTTACACACTATGCATATTCTTTGGTGTATAACGGTGCAGGAAGACACGATTAGAAGTAAAAAAATAAAACTATTTTGAAAACAAGTATGAAATAAATAGATAACCTTCAGAAGAATTATACATATGAATTGTTTGAGTGTTTATAACGTTGTACTTACTACGTAGTGAACCTCAGACATTGGAAAGTTGCTGTCGACGTGAAGCTCCAAGGGGGAACCAACCTGAGGAAGAGGATATGTTTATATCACATATTGACATATATTGACATTATGTTACCAGACGTTTCATATTTACCTGTGTGGGTTCAGGTGTTTTAATCTGCAGGTAGGAGTGACTGGGCGATTTGTAGATGCTGTACAGCTGGAGAGTGGAATGGCTGTCTTCAAAATACGCCTGAAAACAAACACATTCTCAATCCCAACTCGTACTATAGTGACGTTATGTCAGGATCCCTTGGCGTCACTATCAAACGTAGTGGGGGGCCGTTAGCGTCGATTTTCAACTATCAGGGAGTCCCATTGACTTGCATAGAGCTCCCTGGACGTTGGTAATAGACGAGCTGCAGATCCATTCTCACAGCGTTTATCAACCTTTTTCTTACTCAATATCAAGCCACACTTATTGTTTTTACTTCTTTATTTTAATTGTATAACGTCTGACTTGTGTTGCCGTCAGTTAGGGGGAGAGTAGGAGCTCAGAAAACTGAAATCTGTATTGTTTCATCGTTTTTTCCTTCCACTGTAATTTTATATTATTTCTAAAACACACTCTGTTATTTACTCAACAATAAGACACAATCATCCTTGTGTTTATTTATTTATGATTGATTGTATAATGTCGGACTTTTGAAGTCCGTCAGGACCGAGGTTGAATCAGCCGTGTGAAGCATGTTTGGTTGACCTTCAGATTGCTAACAGGAAGCGAAGGATTGGAAGAAAATGAGGTCTCAAAAGGTTGATCCAAATAATTGTTCTAAATGCTCTAATCAAACTTAATTGGCTCCAGAAATCTATTTTAAAACACGTTTTTGTTTAGCTTCTTACTTAATCTGTCACATACTTATGTAAATAAAATACCTTGCTTTATATCTTGTTATTGTTCAACATGTATATTTTCTACTTTCTTGTTTATTTCTTGTCTTTTAATCTTTATGGTACAATGCCTTGTCTTTTTATGCTGCTGATATAAAGTAAAGTACTTCTTGTCTTATCTCCTCAGATGATACGCCACTCTATATCAGTCAATAATTATTTTAGCATTTTTCATTTTAACCCAAAAGATATTGAAGTGACTGTTATTTTGTATATCGATTGTTGTGCTTTTATTTAGGTCTTAATGTGTGCATATGTATAAATGTGTCTTTGATTGTAACTACACTGAACAAAAATATAAACGCAACACTTTTGTTTTTGCTCCATTTTTCATGAGATGAACTCAAAGATCTAAAACATTTTCTACATACACAAAATAACCATTTCTCTCAAATATTGTTCACAAATCTGAAAAAATCTGTGATAGTGAGCACTTCTCCTTTGCCGAGATAATCCATCCCACCTCACAGGTGTGGCATATCAAGATGCTGATTAGACAGCATGATTATTGCACAGGTGTGCCTTAGGCTGGCCACAATAAAAGGCCACTCTGAAACGTGCAGTTTTGCTTTATTGGGGGGGTCTGGGGGGGTCCGAAAACCAGTCAGTATCTGGTGTGAGGGTTAGGGTTAGAGTTAGGTTAGGGTTAGGGTAATGTTGTGAATCGAGTGGCCCATGGTTGTGGTGGGGTTATGGTACGGGCAGGCGTATGTTATGGACGATGAACACAGGCCACTCACCCTGTCCTCACTGTGCAGCACCTCCAGCGACAGGCTGCTGCACCCCATCCGTCACACGGAGAGATACGTGCAGCGGTCAGACTTTACAACCAGCAGAGCCCCTCGTAGACCCTCCTACACACACCACAACACAGACTATAA